GTCAGGAAACTCTGTTTGGTTTGCTTTGTCTTTGCCCAATTTCTTTCTCAGCAAAGTGACTCTCAGTCTTACCTGAGAGAATGAATTCCTCCATCTGTGATATTACTCATAGTGTTTGAGGATTACACAACAATCCAAAACCTGTTGAAATCGATGAATCTCAGAATAAGCTCTTCAATATAATTGCTCATGCTGAAAAGATCCCAAGGTATTTTTAGCTGACGAGCTCCAGGTTTGTTTAAAGAAGGCATTATATTGGTGTGGAGTAACTATCTGACGTGAATATTTCTGAGCTTTACAGGGTTTAGAAAATACTTTTAGTATGTCTTGTTTAAGACTGAATTATAGCCAGCTCCAGGCAAGAAACAGGTAATACTTATAGAGCTTCTGGAGAAACCCAGTGGAAAATGAACTCCAGATCCAGAGACTTGTGCCAAGTTTCTAGCTGTTATATTGTAATTGTGGAGATGTGCTCTGCCCAGTCATCCATCTATTCCTTGAACAGTTCCTCATAAGCAATTGAAAGCCACTTGCGAAAGATAATCCTGTAGCCTGTATAATTCATAATGAAATGTTGCCTACTCTAAGCTGTATATCTTCAAGCTTTGGGGTTGTTCTTCCCCCTGCCATAATCTCCCAAACATACACTGTTTATGGCTGTTTTCTTTTTTCATTTTTGCTGGTGGAACAGCAGCACTACTAACTGTATTATTCGCATGCTTTATTTAATGAAAACAATGAGTTATTAAATCTCTATATTAGATTGTTTTCAAACCAGATGCAGAAAATATTGCTTTATTGTAGAATGCTAACTTTAGGCTTCTTATGAATTTAGTTTTCTCGGCTGAATCAAAAATAAAAGTTTAGAGGCTTTATGATCAGTTAATTCTTTACTCTCTTAGATCATGATGCACAGATTACTCATCAGTTTTATTGGGTAATGTATCACGCCATTTATAAATATCTCATTACCTTTTCTATTAAGCAGAACTTGTATCAGAAATATAATTGCTGAATGCATGCAGGATTTACATTTCCCTTGGGAAAAGTAAAACTTCAGATTCATTGTAGTATCCCAGCCCTGGCTGGCATACCAGGTTTCATGTAGGTTTCTGAGAGCCTCTTCTAAGCTCAGGATAGTAGTAAAATGCACTCTAATCAATGTGCTAGCCAAATATTCAGCTTTCTCTTTGACAAATCAATGTTATGTTGTTCTTCATGAGATGTTCTTCCTTTCCCCTTGACTTATTTTGTGAATTAGAGATTCAGTGAATACATTAGGAAACAATAATGCATTATTTGTAGGGCTTGTTTCCACATGCAAGAATTATACAAATGACTTCAACTATTTTGTTACGTTCAATGTTTTCCAATATTAATTTTCAACCCACAACTTCAGAAAATGTATTAAAAGTCAAAGTATTAGTGAGCTAAAAAAAGAAGATTTTGGCAAAGGATCCTCGGAAAAAAGTTTCTTTTTTTTTTTTTGCTATGAAGAACCTTTGTGTGCAGTTTCGGAGTATGCATCTCACTAAGTAGATGAGAAAAAATCATAAAATTTTGTTCAAGGATCCTTATATCTTAAGCAGCACAGGAATTGTTTTATCTTCTCCAATACAAAGAAAGGTAATGTATTTATCAGAACTTGAAACAGTAGTTTAGACTGTAGTAGTCTAAGAATTTCAATCCCCCTCTTGAATCACAGCGCACTTCTTTAGATTCTAATTTTGAATTATTAATTCAGTGAGAGACTGCATATGAATATAACAAGTTTTTAAAAAATGCTTTTTGTCTTGGTCAAACTATTTTTCCAAGCTAAAATATGTTACCTCTCAAAAAGCAGTAAATAAAAATACTACAATAAAGAACCCAGAAATATTGGCCTGAAATGATCATGCCTTTGAGGCAAGTTTAATGTCTTTCCTTCCATGTATTCCTTCCATATATGTCCTCATCTTTAAAGAAAATGGACTAGAAATGATGTCCTGTCAAAGAAATGATTTTATTTAATGATTTTTTTTTCTTGTCCTCGGTATGTTGAAATACCTTCTTTCTAGATGCTTATACAGTCTTTTCAGAGCAACATTTTCAAAATAATTATGTTGCTCACTGTTTGTACCCAAATGTCTATTTGTATGGACATCTCTAACTAATGTTAGAGATTATGCATTTACCAGGAGAAATCCTTTCTTTCTCTTGAAATAGCCATGTTAGAGTTCTTTATGAGCTTAGAAATCTGAGATCTGCCTTGTGTAACACTCGCTATCTGAAAGCTACATTCTTGAATTTCCTAATTAAAAAATCAGTTTGGAAGGATTATCTGATCTGGTTTTTTATTTTCATCAGTGGCTATAGTCATCTGCTTGGGGAGAATACAAACAGGGACTACCATGTACTAAACTTCCCCTGAGTACTTTCCTGTGCTTTCCTAGTTTCCAAATGTTTTCCACTCAGTTGATTTCCAGAGTCTGATGTCATTTTTGTGTATTTACTAACCCCCAATGGATGCTTCTTCCAAGTAGTTATCTATTCCTTCCTTGAGCATACTCAAAATGTCAGTGCTCAAAACACTTCCTATTCTCAGGCGCCTTTCGTATGCTTCCCATTGCACAAAGATCTATCTTGTTTCTTTGTGAATGAGCTCCTAGATTCATCTGATAACTTGTTTTTGTATTGGAAAGGCAGTGAGCACTCCATCTGCCTCCTTTTGCCATGTCGTTTGTGATTCCTTCTATAGAAGCTGTTCTTGCCTTTGATTTTACTCACAATTTCTTCCTGAGTCTTTTCCAATTCTCTAATATAACTTTTTTCAGATAAGGGGTAAGAGCTGCATGGATGAGCCACATCTTCGCAAACTTCGAACTTGTTCTTTGATTTTCTGTTCTCTCCCCATAAACTCGTAACAATTTATTTTATGATTATTATTGAGCATTGAGATAGTTGTACAGTGGAAGTAACAGTCATCATCATTGTGTGACACAATGAATCCATAACATTTTTCTATAGGAAGTTATGATGGATTTTTTCTGTATGCACCACTCCATGTTTATCTGTGTTACATTTAATTACCTAGTCATCCAGTCTTAAAAAACCCTTCTCAATTTTGTCTGAGTAAATCAGTATCAGTATTACCTCAAACCCAAGGCATTCTTGAATTGGGAAACTGCAAATGCAGTTAATAACCTCAGAGTACTAAAAAGGGGTGACCTTCCTCTACTGAAAGTTTGTTCCAGTATCCCCTACACATTTCCTGTTTTTTAACCATTTATGTAACCCTATTGCTGCCTAGTTTTTTGAAGTTTTTTGGTAAGGGAAAGCTTTCTTGAAAACTATGCAGATTTTATGCACCAATAATTGTATCTGTGTATGTATTGATGCCTCCAAAGAATCATGATTTCATTTCACAAAAATAATACTGACTTTTACCTGATTATATTTATGTGGGTATCTAATTATTACGTTTGTTCTTACAGCTTCTACTACTGACTTACAGTCCTGATGCTTGTATTGGACTATTGTCTTTTCTATGTCCTTTAGAATGATCTTGCAAAACAACTTGTGTTTACCATTTTCAATTGTTGCAGGAGCTTGTAGGAAGTTTGTGCATTACTGCTAGTAACTTCATTTTATTCCTGACATCTTCTAGAACTACTCATTAAATGCCAGAAAGTTTTTACAGTTAATTAGACACTTTTAAGTAGCTGTAAAATATGATACGGAAGTCAGAGTTCTCTTTTTATGAGTCTCCCAAAAATAAGGGTTTCAGAATGGAAAACAGCCCAGTTTCATTTCCAGTGAAAAGTAACACGGGTAATTTTATTCTCTGCAATTTTGTTCTCTCTGTCCCTCAGATTTTTTGTGTATTCTTTGATCACGAGTTGGCCTTACAGTTTTTGCCAAGCTTCTTGCTTGTGATGTGTTTCAAGAGAGGTTTTGTATTTAGTTTTGATTCCTTTCACCATTTGCTCTTCAACCTCTATTCCGGTCCCTCCCAGGTACGACTTCACACTTAATGTGCCAGAACTCATGATTATTGCTTTTTCATTAGTTTGACACAGCATCAGTCTTCTGAGGGATCTAATAACCTTACCTACTTTTCAGTCTTGATGATGTTTCCACCTTTTTTTAAAATACAGTTTTAAAAATGTGCTGTGAAAGTGCTGAAAAATATCCCTTAATAATCTTCATATCGCCTGGAAGATTTCACTGTCTTTGGACATTCCTACCTCTTGAAATGGAGATAAACTGAAGCACATCTTTTTTGCCTTTGTTGTGCCAGTAGTGATAGTGATTATGTTTATGTCTGCAGCCACAAATGTTACCCACATTCAAATGTGCATTTTTGAGCCAAGCTACATGTGATAAGGAAAAGCTAAGAGAGTTGTCCAACTTCATGGTTTGTCCTCACATATGCATGAAGAAGCGCTCATCAGTGGCCTCACAAAAATGTGATTTCTGTTATGTTCCAGTGTGAAATTTTTCAACCTTCTTAAAGATAACTGAAGGCTCCTACTATTTTTGCATTTCTTTCGCTTCCTGCCTCTAATTTCTCAAGACATAGCAGCCAGTGCTGCCATCTTATCTGGGTGGCTGGTGGAGTCTTATGCTCTTCCTACTGAGATTTTGAAGTTCAGCCCAAAAGTTGATCAGGTAGTTGAAGACAGAGCTTCCTTAGCTGATAGGGCTTACAAAGAGAGGGGAATAGAAATAGGATAGAGCTGTCCTGGTGCTTGGCCCAATTAATAAATGTTTGAGTAAGAGAAATCCTTGGAATGGAGAGCATCTGCCAATAAAGTAATCTTAGTTCTCATTCCTCTCAGTCATGGGCCAGTCCTGCTCAAACATGGAACAGCAGTTCCAGGTGCCTGAAGGATTCTGAAAAACAGATTTTGAGGGCTTAAAATTTTAATCTTTTAGTGAAAACTGATCCTCCTTTATATCAATAGAGATGAATATACAAAGAGAGAGAAAAAGAATAAAAGTTGTATTTTTGTAGTTGAATCACTTTCATGAGTTTTGCATGTAAAAACAACTAAACTCCCTTCAATTTAGAAGACATGCATCATTAATTCAAGTGGCACCGTCCACTTGTATTGATTTTTCGGTAGGAGTAACTTGTTTTGCATAACATATGAAGCTTAATATTGAACAATAGTTAAGTGATGAGTCTGGTACAATTTGAGACTGGAAATTGCCATTCTAGTTGAAAAGATGTAAAAGTAAATCGTCTCTCATTTGAAAGCGAGGTAAGCTAAGGCAGCCCATGACAGCTGGTGAGCTATCTACAAATATGAAGAAGATATTTCAGCAGCTGGTGTAACTTATCAATCTTATTTCTATACTCTCATGAGTTAAAAGATAAAAATAAAATTTATTTGTGAATGTCACAATAATGAAAGTCTTGTTTTGGTCAGTTTCAGTTTTTGTAGACATTTGATGGAGCTGCCGTATTACTGTCTGAGTTCTTTAATGCTAGGCTGGAAGGAGCTCCTTGTGGGCTTCTTGAACGCAGAATGTGCTGTTTTGTTCTGGATTTTTTTATGATCATGCTTATAGGAAATATTTAACTAGTGGCAATTCACAGGTTTGAAGACACTTTTCAATATATATGACCCTGTGGACTACATTTTGTAAACAACATCACAAGGATTTTAAAGATCACTTTTTGCTTAACATAGAAACTTTTATAATACATTTACTCTGTGAAAATATTAACTTTCCATTAATACATCCATCCCTGTTTAACAACCTAGTAAAACTGCATGAAATCACAACTCCCACTGAAACCAGAATTATCCCATAACTGCAGTATCATATACAAGCATTTATATTGTTCCATTTTATATCATGTAGAATTTTGCACTGTAGTATCTGAGCAGTTTTTGAAGAGCAGAAATATTGCAACTGGAATCTATCATATCTGCTCTTGCATCCTTTCCCTATGGGAAAAATGAAAGTAGTGGAGATGCTTTGAGTGAATAAAAAAAATTCAAAGCTGAAAATAACTCTGGCACACAGATGTCCTTTGGTTACTCAGGAAACATACTCCACATACTTCTCCCTGGAGTAAAAAATGTTTCTAGTGCAAACAAGCTTCACCCTCACTATAGAAAATTACAGCATATTAGAGAAACAGTGCTATTGGCAGCATTACTAATGCTGGGCTTTCAGTTAACCTTGGGTGAAACAATGACATACCTTGAAGATAGTATCTGAGACCTTGGACAAGGATAAATGCAATACAGAAGGTCAGTTTGGGAAGCAAAAACAGATTTACTACCCAAACTGTAGACCAAGTATTTTGAAGGAAGTGCTGCAATGTTTTGAGCTCTTTGGTGTATTCTAGTTGCTGAAGACAGCAAACCAAACATGCTGTGTTGCCTTGCTCACTCAGAGTGCTTCATGCGAATTCATGATCAATACCCACTGGCACAAAATGGAGGACTTCATGTCAGTGAAGAAAAGCAATCCAACTGACAGACTGATGTCACCACTTGCAGGTGCCTTTAGCAAAAATATTATTTTGAGCTGAGTTTTAGGTCTATCCTGATAAAATACCAGCTCTAATGCCATCCTCTGGCTAAATAGAAATATTAACCAGCTAAGAAATGAGATCTCACATTTTCCACCTAGAGGGATTATATTTTTTTTTCTTGTATGGGGATTTCACAACAGACCCAGATATTAAAGCTAACAGAATAATTAGTCTGACACCTTCCCATGTTCTGCAGTTGATCTAAATAAATAAATAAATAATACATTTAGATCCATGCAGTAATTTTTTAATGCCTAATGTTATTCCAAAGCCATATACCTATTTTTTTACTTCCATGGGGGCTGTTTGTATATAACCATGGCTGAAATTTACCCCATAACACTGAATGTATCATCACTCTTTCTAATGTAGGTCAAGAGAAGAAATTAATGATGACATTGTGCTGCTTGTTCTGGCATCTCCCAGGAGCTTGTGTGGTCCCTAGTGATCATCTTGAATCATTAATCAAAGGATAACTGCACTGTACAACCCACAATATATTCTCAGCAGACACATGCATTGATGATGCTGCACCAAGAAAAAGGACTTAATTGCATTGACAGTACAGTTTTTTCACAGTTTAGAGTGTTTATCAAAATTGTGCTTGTAGCATCTAAAAATACTGTAATTAATGCAGCTTTTGGCCTCTTCACACAGTGTTTTCTCTTTAGTTTCTTCTGTTAAAGAAGACAGCTGTTTGGTAGGAAAAAAAATTCATCTCTTTTCCTTCTTTCTCTCGCCTCCTGTTTTGTATTTGAGTGCATCAGTAGGAGGCTCACAGTTTGTTGTAAATGTTCATTCACAGTTTCTGCAGATTCTTACATTCGTATTCAAAAAAGGCAGAATATTTCAAGATGTCCTTCACATCAAGTTACTCTTACTTTGCATGTGACATCTGTGATGAAGAATACAGAGTTCAGGGACTTTGCTTCACAAGGTAAAGCAATGATCCTCATGGGAACAAAACTCATTTTCCTCAGGGAGAATGTGAAAATTTGAGTTGGTCATTTCTTCATTCTTAAATTATCTCCTTTCATTGCTAGTTTAAACATGGCTTGCAGGTATTATAATGTAGAATATATACCAGAATAAAGAAAACAGACCTTCTTTGATCAGATAAAACAACTGTAAGAGAAGGTAAGGCAGATGCTGGTGCTTTGGCTAGTGGAATAACCAGGCAGCTGAGGTTGGCCAAGATGAGGATTTTCTTTTCCCTATTAGGTATTCAGGGCTGTGAAAACAGGGGAGGCACAAAAGTGTGAGACTTGATTTGTGTCATCAGCCACAGCTCCCATGCCAGGCAGCCTGCATAGATGTACAAACCCGCAAGCCCATGAGAAACCCACCCTGCTTAGCAGCCAGCAGACTGAAGTAAAGGATCTGCAGATGTTGTCCTGTCTAGAGGAGAGAGGCAAGAGCAATGGAAATCTGTGATGAAAAGACATCAAATTAAGTGAAATAAGATATTGAATAGATACCTTTTTGAGCAACAAGAAAAAGGAGACATCATTTGCTCTCACCATTAGAGGAAAATAGTACTATCATGACTCATTTTCATTATTCATTCACTACTGTTAACTACTGTGAAGTGCTTTGCTCCCTCAAAGATCCACATCAGGTTTTAAAACATCCCAGATGCTACATATTTCCTTGTAAATCTTGTATTACAGTGAGGAAGACTGTGTATGCAGCAGAGCTTTGCAAGACTGAAATTTGACTGAAATTACTATTATTACTTCATAGACTGAAAGGGTAAAGCTCAAGTGGTCACAGTTTATGAAATCCTAAGGTTAAATAATGGACTTTATCGTAATTTTACAGTAGACTTTATACTTCTACCACTGGTGTAGGACTTGCAGCTCTTTTAAGACAGGAGCCTATTGAAAATCTTTATCATTTTCTGGCATAAAAGCCTGCACTCTGTTCACACACTGAAGGCTCAGGATTGCAGAGGAGGTGGGAGAGAGCATCTTGAGTTCATCAAATGCAGTCTGAATGAAGATATTAAGAGCCAAACTGCCAGTATATGGGTACTTTACAATGAAAGTAAGATTATTTTCGAGTTTACTAGTCCAGGCTGCAAACTCAGAGACCGTTCAGTTAAATGACTGTATTAATAAATGAATAAATGACTGTACTGTAGTTTGGATGGCCCAGTACAGTGATCTACAGCTGTTCAAACAGAGCCTGCTGAGCAGCACCAGAGCTGGAAGCAGCCAACATGAAGGTCCTGCATCCACTTCAGCCTGTGGGCACATTTTCATCTTCAGTGAGGACTGGGTCAGTTTGAAAACCAGCAATAAATCCAACAATCAATCTACAAAACAATCAAAAACAAACACACACGCATGAATTATTCACATTAATACTGTTCTGGGATATAAAGGGTGAGAAAAAAGTGTAACCAAAAAGATGTTTGAATGGGCATTTGAAGTCCAGAAGAGCTGTGTGTTTCATAACCTTCCCAATGATGACAGATTTGCTCCTTGTTTCCTTCAGACTCTAACCTGTGGCCTCCTGGCATTCATTGATTTACAGGGGAAGTAAAGAGAAATATTCCTGGCTGTTTTGTAAAGGTATATTTTTTGTTGTACTTGTCTCAGTTAAAAATGGTTTTATTTCATTTTTTTAATATCCTAGGATAATCCATTTTATCTGGAAAAAAAATCTACATTCATGAAAGTTGAACTATGAATATTTAATGTTTCATTTTCTCCCTCTGTAAATTGAAGTATAATTTTTACCATCACAATAATGATCAAACCTGTATGAATTAATAACATAGAGCACTGAAAAATGAAATTAAGTATAATTAAATAATAAAAAAGCCATTTTCTAGAGAAAAACAATGCAAATAATAATTTTAAATAAGATCTTTATATGATAGTGACAGTCTTAACAGTAGACTTTCTCAATAGAGAATAAATATACTTAAACCTATCTATCTCCTTCGATACCTTAAAGCAGAATTTTCATAGAATGAAACAACTTGAACATTTCTACAGGGTAGTCTTATATAGGTGTATATATATGTATTAGATTATTTGGGCTATGAACTTCTATATGCCTGCAGACTCATTTGATTTTTAAGTTTTGAAGGGAAGGTGCTACTTTCTTTTCCAGTACAAACTCTTGTCTTTGAAGTGCTGCTGTGCAGAGTAATGCATAAAACATAATGCAATTGGATTGTGAGTCTTAAAACCACTGAGGAAGCATGCTCTCCCTAGACCTGATGTGTCAGCTTGTGCTGGCATCTCTTTCCATTCATTACCTAGAAAACATTAAGCTGTAATGATGATGCCACTACTACTAAAACTGCATCAGGACTTCCTTTTGAAGGGGGTGAAAAAGCACTGAAAACACATTCTATCCCTGATACTGTTGGAATCAACAGTGGTCTCTACATTGCAAGATTTTTTCTACATATTATATGACTTAGAGAATGATGGGTGCACACTATGAATTCTCCTTTGTCTCTATTACAGAAGACTGTAGATGAAAAATTTTTTTGTGATTGAAAGTTATTTTCTGTCTTCAGAAACTGTGGCAGTCTGAGCTGTTAGATGAATAGGAACAGGGTAAATCCTTACTTCACAAGGAGCTGTTTTGAGTTATGACTGTAAGCTGTTGTTGAGGTTTTTCCAACCTTTCAAAGAGGCTGTCATAATGGATGAGCATAAGGACATTAAAAGCCCTTTTATACCCTGATGCTGGGAAATACTGGCTTCTCTCTCCTGACATCATTCACAGCTTCATTTATTTCTTAGAAATAGGAATGCTGTAATGCCAAGTCACTGCAGTGATATTTCAAATGCCTTCAGACAGAGAAAACACAACAAAAACAACAACAACAAATACGCTGGCACTACAGCTGCTCCCTTAAAGAAGCAAGTGGGAAAGACATCAGAAAGCAAACTAAATGTTGGGCTGGGGTCGACCTGAAAGAAAAACTGCAGTTCACATGTTACTGGTTACTGTTTGTTCAATGTAAGGTGATCTCCATACAGGCAGTCTTAACTACCTACTTCTACCCTCGAGCTTTCTGTGATTCATCAATTTACAGAGCCTTTGATAAAAGTCATCAACTATGAAAATATGCAGGAGTAAAATATCAGTTTATGTTCAACTTTCACTCCCATTTTATTACCAGATATCTTCACGTAGTCTGGCTTTTGTACTGCACTATTTTTAAAATGCTTAGTAATATCAAATGCTAAAATGCAGGTGCTATTAATAAATTTTAAAACTCTAAAGTAAAACTAATACTACGGTTCCAAAAATGGTATTGCTTAGATAGAGTTTGTAGAGTTGAGACTCCACAGGAAACATATCTGGGAAAGAAGAAATCACTGTACTCTGCAAACAGTTCCCATCAAGCAGCTCGATTTGCTTTATAGAAAGCCAAATTGTTGTTTTCAACAACCGACTGCTGCACAATACATCTGATATCAAAGCCTAGTGATAAAGTGATCTAAGTCTGCTGTCTGTAACACTGAAAAATAAGTCTGGAAAATGGATCTTTTCATGAGATGTATAGGTAAGTACTTTGAAGAAAGGAGTTTTAACCAATTCGCTGTATAAAATTTTAGACTGCTCCTGCTCTTAGAGAGTAATTCTTAGTGATATTTCAGTTATCAGTAGACTTGAAATGTTGTAAAGGTTTTGTTCCACATTCAAATTTTACTCTAAGCTCCTTTAGCAGTCACAGGAGTTAGGAATACTGCTGTCTAGTTTCCTATTGTTCTAACACACAATTTTGTATTTATAAGTGAATGACATAAAGACTTCTTTATCAAGGATGTACAGATTTCGAACAAAGCTGAGTAGTATTTACAGCAGCACCTGTGGTATTTTATTACTTCCTGATATTATACCTTCATTAGGCAAATGTGATTCTGAAGAATTATGTTTCTTTGGAAACATAAGCAATTTTTGTCATCCTCCTAGAAAGGAGAGCAGTATAAGACTTGAGGTCAATGACTGGAAACAGCTTTGGTCCTTATATTCATGTGGCCACACATTTTGGCATTTTTAGAGTTGGTGCTCTTTGTGGAGTTTACTGCCCTGAAATTCAGACTGCATATTTCTCCATTGTTTTTTTTTTTTTTATATATATATACACTGTTAAACAGTATAAGCTGGGTCACTGAAGTAGCACACCATTATCCACAGAAGTAATAATAGTGGGTCACAATCTTCCCCGGCCCTCAGCTGGATGTTCATAATGTTCCTGTGGGTTTGGGTCAGATTTTGTTATCAATACAAGTGTATTAAACTTTCTACACTCTAATTTGTCTTGAGCATGTTTATGTAGAATCTTCTCTTAATGCCCACTGTGTGGTGCTTCAGGTATTTCTGGGGCTTCATTGCAATTCACTTATGTTTGATCAGGATTTCTATGCAATGTCTATTTCTGTATTATTCCTATAAAAAAAAAAAAAAATTTAGAAGGATATGGAATGAAATCATTTCCTGATTTGAAACCATTACCTAAAATGCCATTTTTTTCTGTGTGTTGCTGAACAAATTTTCACTACCCTGCTCTTCAGACTTGCCAGTAGGTGTGTCCCCTGGGCACTCAGCATGCCTCAAAACATTAACAGCACTAGACTCTGTTAATGTGATAATTTTTTCCACTACATTTACAGCTATCCCAAAAGATAATAGGTACTATTAGTTATCCCATGGCTGATTGTACCTTCGCTAGTAATGCCTTCCAGAGGGCAGAGGACATGCCCAGGGCTGAAGTCTAACTTCAGCCTGTGAGGCTGAAGGTGATGTTTTCATTTTGCCAGAGATCATGAGTACTGGTTTCATTGCCTGACTATTGGGATCCCCCCCTTCATTTCTACCAACTTATAGATAAAAGCTGTAAGTGGTTTCTTATTCCATTGGCTGTATAATCTCTCAGGCTCTTCATTTGTTTCTTCAAACCTTATTGTTGTTCCAAACTCCATTCTCATGACTCATCCAGCATAATAACTGCGTGTATTTGTTTTACTGTTGTATTTATTTACCTTCTCTGTTTTGTTTAGCTTTCCTTCTTCTTGGAGAATCTTTCCACCCTTCCCAGTCTGTCCTTCCTGGTCTACCTGGTTTGCACTAGTGGGTTTCAGAGGTCCCATAAACACTTGCAATCAACAAGTGAATCCTCCAGTGCTATGGTTTTGACTATTAGCTCATAACTACAGACTCTACTTTTATCCAGCACAAGCTTAACAACTACAGACAATAACAACTTTCTAACAGTATGTAATTCTAGAACCATTTGGCTTTTGTTCTTCCAAATGAAGCTCTACAAGCATGAAATCAGCTGCCTTAACAGATTACAACACTAGCTGCAACTGGTGTAATGGCTGCTATTTCTGGAGTTCATCATTACAAATGGCCTATTTGGTGGCTGCACAGGATGCCTTAGCCATGCAGTTTTGATTTAGTATTAGTAAAACCAAGCTGTGCTTTTTAAGATAGCAGCACCCTTGCATAGATATTTATCTTCGAAAGTCCCAATTATTTAGCTAAAGATCAAAACTGGGTAGGAGGTAATTGTAATTCAGTAGTCATGGTCTTGATAGCTTCTCTCATTTGTGCTTTTCCCTGCCCTGCTATTTTCATTGATATAGATATCCCTGGTTTGTATCCCTGTCCCTCATTGTGCCATAAAACTTCGGTGCGTGTGGTTGACTGAGGACAACTTACTTTCACAAGGAGTAGGCTCAGTTGAACTCGATCATCCCTATGTCCCTGTGTCAGTCCTCAGGATCCCATTTTGCTAGCTGTCATATTATTTGTACCACAGTCAGTTCTGTTTAACATCTCAGTTATCTTTCTGTAGAAGTCCTGCTTCTCAGCCTCCTGACTCCCCTTCTGTGTTTTCTCCAACACAACTGTTATATCTGCCCTAGCTTGATCAAACTTATATTTGGCTCTTTTTGCTCTCTTGTTGCTTTACATCTGAAATTTCTCACTCTTCTTCCACCCACATCATCCCCTCATAGCTACAGCTGTTTTTCCCTTCTGCAATCAACTTACATTCCTCGGCCTTGTTCCTGCTAGTGAACCCTCTACAGCACTTGTTGTCTTCCCCTAATGCACTGCTCTTATCTTCACGTGCTCTCATGTGCTACTGCCTGCTGTCCAACATTCTTCTAGCCCAGACTGCCCTCCCCATTAACTCCTCCTTTCTCATAAGCAATCCACTCTTTCCAATCCCTTTAAAACATCATTAATTTTACTTAAAAGACTTTTTAAGGCCTCAGATGTCCAGGGATCAGGATTCTGTTTGTTTAGTTGTTTGTTTGTTTTTCTGTCCATGCTCTTCCCAAAGTAGGTCTTGTAGCCCTCCTTCAATGGCCAACAGTACTGTCCATTGGGCTTGAAAACCCCTCCCATGTCATGCTTTGGGATACACAGGTTATGACCTTTTTGCCATCCTTGTATTCGAGCACTCTTGTTCACTGTTTATGACGATACAATTTCTATTTCTGCTCCACTCAGACTCTCACATTCTTGCTCTTATAGCATTGGCTTGTTGAGCTGCTTGCATTCCCCATCAATCTGTTACACGCAATAAAACAACGCCTGTTCTGCTTTCACAAGAGAACAGAGCTGACTTTGTTTCTAATCAAAGCTGGAAAAGACCGATAATAAAAGTGTTGTGCTTGGCAATACTTGGGAACATCAAAATGTGTATTAACATACGCAAACTTGCAGGGAGAAGCCAATCAAAGGGAAATCAGTCCTTGCCTGGATATTCACATGGTAGGTGGACTCTTCTCTCCAGTGGTGTCACTGTGCTTTCTCTATACTTTTTAATGTCAATGTTCTTCTTTACCAAGTCCAGTTTCACGGGAAATCATGCTTTATCTAGTCTGAATGAGCTTTGTTTTGTACAATTTACTTTGTAGACATAGTTGCATGTATACAACTATATCATGTTACAGCAAAATTTTGTTTCGTGGGGGTGCTTTAGTTTTGCAGCAGCTTTGCAACCTACTCATATTGCAAAGCATTTAGTTCCACTAATCTGCTAAGCTTTTGAGAGCCCTTGGCAGTTGTTTTCTGCAGCAGAAAGTCATGGTCAGCCACAATGACCAGTACTTTCTATACTTCTTGAAAAAGTTCAGTGTAACTGAAGTGGTTCATGGATACTCTTTCAGCTGTATCAAGAGGATTACAATTGCATTTCTCACTTGAATCCTCAGGAGGTGAACAAGTCTGTCAAGTCACTGAAATCGTTAAGAAGTAACATTATACAAGTTACAGGCTTCCCTTAGGAGGAAAAAAAAAAAACAAAACAACAAACAAAACAGCTTGATAATGGAATCTGCAACAAGTAAAAAGGTCCCGAAGTAACCCCTTGAGTTTTCTTTGTTTTGCAGTGAGAATGTCTTTTCCAGTGAATCTGTAGTGGGTTTGTCTCTTCATCAATTGTCCCATAACGAGCCCAACAAAGGGCCTGGTCATGAGTATTGGTGATGGAACATTAAATTTAATTGTGTTTTTCTTGTCTATGTTTTTATTACTTGCTGTCACAAACACATTTAGCTTTCTCTAAGCAACTATTATTTGTAGTGTGCTGGTTTTCAGATGTTCCTAATAGGCTTGAAATTTTAAGCCTTTGTTTCCTGTACTCTTGTTATAACTGCCAGATTAGACAGGGAATATATGCTGCATTTACACAGAATCATGGAATAGGGGTTGGAAGGGACCTTTGGAGATCATCTAGTCCAATCTCTCTACCATAGCAAGTGCCCACAATAGGATTTACAGGACAGCATCCAGATTAGTTTTGAATATCTCCAGAGAAGGAGACTCCACTGCCTCTCTGGGCAGCCTATTCCAGTGCTCTGTAATTTTAAAGCAAGTAAGATTTTTCCCTTTTTCATATTGAACTTCCTGTGTTCTAGTTTATTTAGTCATGTTTTGATCAGTTAAATGGGTTGACTTTTATATCTTTTTTCTTGTTGATAAAAAGTATGTAATTCTGGAAGTCTCAGATTATTCCATACCTTCCCACTTGCACCTGGAATATTGGTTGTAACTCATTGAGATTATTACAGGTTTGTCTTGTAGGATCCCCAGGAGTCTTAATGGCCTGTGGGAAAAAGAAACTGAAACACCTGATTGAATTTACCAGAGCATTCTGTTTTATGGTGGCCAAAGTCTGCCAGTTAGCCCCATTTGATTTAGGATGTCCAAATGAATAGGGAAGTTGGTATAAAGCAGATAACTCAGATATCATTATTAAAACAAGCTTCAGAGTTTAAATGGATAGAATAAAAACTTTTCAGTAACGCAAATGGGTGTGAAGCAGTAGCATTTAGTGAAGTTAATATAATTCACTCTTAGTACTGGTTAATCTATGAGGTTTGTTGTTCAAAACTCCTAGTATCAAGAATTATGTAGCACTGTTGGAAAAATGGTATAACAAGAATGTTCAAAAGACAGCCTCTGACAGTCTCTCACTTTTAAAAGAAAGAAAAGAGACTGCGGCTGTAGAAAAACTGTCAGTGTTGCAGATAAAATCTACATTCATCAGGGAGGAGCAAGAATGTATTTATAGAATATAGTGTTTTAACAAAGCTTAATCATAAATAAAACAGCAAGATCACAGATGGTGAAGTACAGTGGATTATTCACAGCATACATTGTTATCCAGAAAGCCCTCCCATTGAATCACGAGGTTCAAAACGTACTTCACTGCTTTCTAAACTCCTTGAGACAGAGAGGTAAGAAGTAGATGTGGGTCAATCCACTCTTTGTCCTAGACTTGATTGCATTTTATAGATTAAATATGCACATCTAAGATATAATCTTAACAAAGATACCAAAGCTTAAAACTACTGGTCACGTACCAAGTATCTGTATCAGCAAGGTGTCTTGACATCAAGCCACAAGAGATCTCTGTTCAGGTGTAACTTATAAGTGTCTCTGCTTAAGTGGAGATCCTGTCATGCAATCAGCTTGTGCAGGTCCTGTTTATAGGGTTATTTCATTAACTCATAGTCATAGCATTTAGAGCATGCCCAATTGGCACTTGTTCAACCAGCTGTCTGCAATTAGTTCCTTGAGCACCCAGTTTGAGACAGTAGTGTGGTCATAATCTGTCTTGGTGATACTTTGATTTTTGTCAGTCCTGAGCAAAGTGTGTATCTCATTCTGCTCGTGAGCAAGGCCATGGGCATAACAGCCAAGCTGAAAGTGAATGCTGGGCGCAGAGGGAAGCACACTGATACACACAGCTTATTCCCTGTGGAGTCTGTGCTCCTTTCTGGCCTTGTCCAGAGTAGAATGCCTTTTTCTTCCTTTATAAGGCTAAGGTGCCTGTGACTAGGTATCTAGATGTATCACAAACAGTATGAGAGATTACATTTTTCTCTCAATTCCTCCTCTATGAATCTTGTTTTCCTTCAGATCTACAGGTGGCTTCTGTTCTATAAAAGGATTATACTAATGGATTCACAATGAAGATGGCTTTGAAAATTTTTAGGATTTATCATATGAATAATTACATGTGTCTAGCAACATGACTGAGTTTTTTCTCCTTCTAGTCAATCTATACACTTTTAACAAGATGCTTAAACACAAATAAATATTGAGATTGAGAAGAGAGGATTTTATTCCTAGATACCTCATACTTTTCTCATACTGAGAACAAAAGATGTTTTCTTTATGTGACTACCAAAGAATAAAAGCCAGTAATGCAGAAGAGTGCAAGCAGTCAAGATTGAATGTGTTGCACTGAAAAATGAAATCTGCTATTAATGTTGACCATATTATTCCTTTCTTTTAAGCTTGAAAAAAGGAACCAACAAACGAGCAGAAACCTCATTAGCAGAAATGCATGAACTTCAGGTATCAAAAACCAAAACTATATTTTCTCCTGCTTCTCTCCCCCACTACCCCCAAAGCAAACAAACAAACAAATAAACAAACAAACAAAAACCAGCTAATAAATAACAAAAAACAAACACACACACACAAGCCACCACCACCAAACCATTACAGAAAGTAAGGGGTATATGTTTCCTGGTTTTGGTAGCCAGCAGCCCATTAATTTTCATATTTCAATCACAGGAAAAAAAAATTCTAAAAAGTGTTGCTTTCAAAGAAAAAGGCATATGTGTTCAGCTTTGTTATATAACAAACCCTTAGCCCTGACCCATCTCATTTTTAGATATAAACTTGCCAGTACAAGGGCATAGGCTGTGTTGACAGTAGATGAGAAACATGAACTTGATTCTCTGCTTTAACTCTTTTGTGAGCGTTGAATGGATTATAATATTTCTTGAACTGGACTGGAGGACAAAAATGTGTACTTCAAAAAGACTAAATAGAGGGCTCAAATCATCTGAAAGTGGAAAGCATACAAACTGTTCCTTCTTAACATTCTGCACTTTCATTTGGTAATGTTTGTGCTCTTAGTACAAAGAAAATAACACTGAGTTGTCAATAAAGCTGCATATGATGAGTCAGCTTTAGGTTTGCAAATATTAGTCATCATCCTTGTTGAAAAAAAAATCATTGTACTTTATAAATTATGTGTATATTAGAATGATAATAAATTGAGCTTATAGGTTTTGCTTTGAAGAATACTTGGTATCTTTGATTAATATGTCTTATCTCATTGTATTATTGCAAATTCAGTGTTTCTCTGAGAACAACAAAATGTTAGTAAAGAATCTCTTTCTTTGCATCTACTGCAAGATAAGGTTAGGTATGGAGCTATGCACCATTTAGAATATTATGTTTTGCAAAATAGTAGTTGTGAGGTCATTCAACCACCACTGAATGCTGACATAAACAATAAGACAAAAATAATAGATTTTGGGGTTTTTTGTCTAGATTTTGGTGTTTTTTTTTTTTTTTTTTTGTCTAGATTTTGTTTTTATCTTGAGCACATTCAAATTAAACATAAAAACTGCTTAAAAATGGATTGTAGTTTAACCATTACGTGAATATATATATATATTTTTCAATGAGAATATGCACTTACACAGATAACATATGCTATGACTTCAAAAAAAGAAAAAGTAAAGCTGCATGTCAAATTAAATACCTTGTGAAACTTTGATCATTGATCATGCTGCCATTGCTGGCTTTGATCATTAGAAATACTATGACTTGAACCCTCTAATAATTTATTTTATATTTTCCCTTTTTTTTTAAGAAAATAACCTTTAATCCCATAATTTATTTTTCCCTACTTCATTTTTTTTTTGTTATTTATTTTTCCTTTTATGTTTCTTTGCATGAATAGCAATTTTTTTGTGTGACTGTTCATTCAAGACATTTATAAGGCACCCTCAAACTCTCAGTGGCAAACGTTAAAATGAGTAGACATCCCTGAGCAAAGGAGAAAACAGAGTACAGAATGGGAGAAAGAAAAAAGCATTTATTTCAATATTCAACTTTCAATTTATTTATTTATTTCAATAAATGAGGGAACTGTAAACTAAAAAAATCCTGAAAAAATATTCTTACTGCTATTTAAAAAAAAAGAAGAAGTAAGGGTGTTTGTAGAGTCACAGATCCATTTGGATTGGAAGGCACCTCTGTCATCTAGTCCAATTCCTCTGCAATGAACAGGGACACCTACAGCTAGATCAGGTTGCTCAGAGAACCTTCCAGCCTGACCCTGAATGTCTCCAAGGAAAGAGCATCCACTTCCTCTCTGGGCAACCTATTCCAGTGCTTCACCACCCTCATTGTTAAAAGCTTCTTCCTTATATCCAATCTAAATCTCCCCTCTCTATTTTGGAATAATCTCCCCTTGTTTTATCACAAAAGCTCCTGTTAATAGACCCCTTCTTTCTTAGCCCTTCTTTAGATACTACTGACAGTCCACTAGTAGGTTTCCCCAAAGCCTTCTCTTCTCCAGGCTGAACAAGTCCCAGTTCTCTCAGCCCATTTTCACAGGGGAGGTGTTCCATCCCTTAGATCATTTTAATGGTCCTTCTCTGGATTCACTCCTACAGCTCCAAGTCTCTCCTGTACTGAGGAGTCCACAGGTAGATGCAGTACTCCAGCTGAAGTCTTGCCAGCACAGAACAAAGGGGTAGGATCACCTCCCTCACCCTGATGGCCACGCTGCTTTTGATGCAGCCCAGGATATGGTTGGCTTGCTGTGCTGTGAGGACACATTTCTTGCTCATGTCCAGCTTGCCATCCTCCAGTATTCCCAAGCTTTTTTCAGCAGGGCTGTGATTATATTACATCTCTCTTCTTCTGAGTCTCATTTCTCTTCTCTGTGGTCAGAAGTCCATTTCCTTTGAGATTATCAGAGATCTCTCTCAATATTTTTTTCCCTGTGACAGCTTTGTAAAATATTCACTGAGTACACTTACATTAGCCACTGACACAGCTGTATCTTGTTGAATGCTAATTGGATATCTCAATTACCAGTAACTGATCAGAATGCAGGTCAACTCTACCACTACTTAATCTTATACATTTTCAGCCCATATATGAAGTTAAGGAGTTCATTTATGTAATCCCTGCTATAAAAATTCCTAATGCTATCTACTATATGTTAAGCACTTGAGTTGTTGATTAAGAAGTTAACAATTATCCTGTTTTTAGAAAAGAGAAAACAGCTGTGGCCTGTTGTTTCTTTCAGTGACCAATGGTAACAGGTTATTGTTTTTAATTTTGCATTTCTTTTCCTTTCTTGCACATGCACAATATTTATAAACTAGATAGTGGCTTTAATATCACATATAGTTTTTCCACTAGGAATGTCAAATATTAGCAACACTTTGGCAAACAAGATGCAAGACCTTCTAAAATGTACCTAATCACCCAGGACCTCAATGCCATGTAACAGTTCTCACTGCTGTCCAAGGTTGAAACTCTTATTCCTTTCAGTTTCTCAGAATTACATTGTCATGACACAAAATAAAAAGAAATTGGTTTTTCCATGCATTTCTCATGGGATTTCCATGGTACTATTTGTTCCAGTGCAGAAAGCATATCTTCAGTATTTTTATTTATTTCCTGTCTTGGTTTGTAAGTTCAAGCTAATCAGTGGGGAAAAAACAAAGCGAACAAAAACAAAAATAAACCCTGACCAAAAATAATGATGTATTGTATGCTCATCCATGCATCTATTTTTATTTTTTTAGATTATGGCGTGGATGAACCAGGAGAACAGCTTTTTGCCAATAAGGCAAATGTGCACAGGCCATAATTCTGTAGAAAAAAAATAGAACTGGGAGATATTTTTATTTTCAGAGCAAGTTAAAAATGCAATTTATACCAGCTTATTATCCGGGGGACTAAAGCGTAATAGAAGACAGGCTCTCAGAAGAAAATTTTTTTCTCTTGCGATACTGTAATATATTACAAGCAAGTGCACACTGTTTTTTTCCCTTAGCGCTTCTCTGAGTAAATATTGAAAATCTTAATGACATCCATTTCTTTTCTCTAAAACTGATTTTTATGGTACAAGTCTTGATGATGTTTGCTAATTTCATTAGAAATATTTTATGCTGTTACAAAGAAAAAAAGAAATTCTCTTAGAAAATCATTTCAATCGCACTTACAGAGAGAACTCTGTGCTTTTGCATGAATTAACAATACTATTTATTTCCTTTTCTATTTTACTTTGTCTGACTGTGGTTTGCTTCCAGAATCTCTAAATATAAGGTTAATAATTTTCTTTAGTGTCAAGTCAGTAATTCCCTTACAAAGACTCTTGTATGATATTTGCTAAGTTTAAATGCTGTTAATTTAATTACATTAAAAGTAATGTACATTACTTCATTTCAACAAAAACCTGTGTTTATCAGCATGCATTAGAAATGAGAATTTTTATTTCAGTGCAGTTGAAATGAGCTATCATACATTCTTCACGAACGTCTAGACAACTACTGAACATGGTAAATAAAAAAATAATTATAATAAAAAGAACAATAAGGTCTTAGGAGAGACAAAGAGCTCCTTAGAACAAGAAGATATTCTACTT